CAGTGAGTGTGGGCTGTTGTACATTTCTTCGGGCTATATGGCCATGTTCTAGAGGCATTCTTTCCTGTGAGTGTGTGTGTCAAAATAAGATGCATGAAGCTGATTGGTTGGATATGGCTGAGCCTGGGACTTTTGGATACTGTTACATTTTAGTTCAAGCTTGAGCTATGCAGTGCAGAGAGATAAGCAGAGAGAGAGACAGAGTTTGGAGTGTACTTGTGGTTCATGGGCTGCTGAAGGAGTTTACCCCCAAAAGAAAGTCAATTTTAAATCTCTCATAAAAGGACATTATGTGAATTGAAGCAACTGATCACATTGTACATAGGTTGTTGTTATCAAGTAGTTACCAACAATAACTACTTGTTCTTTACTGTTCACCTGTGTGACATATTTACTTTCTCTGGCAAGGTAGTGTGTGGGCTGATCAAACGTGAACTACATGTGGTTTATTTTACATTATGCCACAATAATTCCATAGCAAAATTCTTACAACACAACAACAACCAGATCATGTCTAAGGCATTTTTGAAAAATATTTCTAAAAAAGGTATTTGTTAACAGCATTCATCTAGAGGTACATCATTTCCATGATATTATGTTGGGTCTTCTTCACGTCTTTCACCAGTGCCTGGTACACAACAGGCCATTGTAATGAATCTATGAAAACTATGATACATGGAAATTGGGCAGAGCTCAGTTGTTCTGTTCCATCTCCCAGTTATTCCTGCTTGCTGCTTTAATTTAACTGCAACTGCACAGCAGGAATGTAGGAGAGCTAGCATTTCTGTTTGGAGAAGAGGTGGGGACTGATGAATAGTGTTAAGTGAGTTAGAAGAAATCATTTCTGGAAAGAAAAAAAATAACCACCTGCCCTTTGCACACATGTGCAAAGGGCATAGGGAACATGTTTCCTAATCTGAGAACTGCCTAGCAGGATGGGAGTGCCGCCTTACATTTTCAGTGCATATTCATTTAAATATGTTTGTGGGGGTGCATCTACATTCTGCATTAATGCAATTTGAAACCATTTTACCTGCCATGGCTCAATGCAATGGAATCATTGCAGTTGTAGTTTGCCAGAGAAGGCCCTGTTCCAGAAGCATTCCCTCCTGATGTTTAACCCACATCTATAGCAGGCATCCTCAGCAGTTGTGAGATTTGTTGGAAACTAAGCAAGTGAGGTTTATATATCTGTGGAATATCCAGGGTGGGAGAAAGAACTCTTGGCTCTTTGAGACAAGTGTGGATGTTGCAACTGATTAAATCTGACTACCAGTATTTTAAAAAACTCTAAAATCAGGACAGTAAATAAAGAACAATACGCAAAAACTCCAGTAAATAAAGAACAATACGCAAAAAATTCCAGACAAGAAACAATCAGGGCCAGCTAATCACCTCCCAATGAAGGATTCCCCCAGGCAGGAAGCAGCCAAGCCTTGAATCTACAAGGCTATTCAATGCTAATCAAGGTGATCAATTGCAACATTCACACTTGCTTCCAACAGACAAGAGTTCTTTCTTCCACCCTGGACGTTATTCCACAGGGTTAAACGTCAGGAGAGAATGCTTCTGGAACATGGCCATACAGCCTGGAAAACTCACAGCAACCAAATATGTATCTTCTGTGATCTGAAATAAGTTGTGTTTTAAAACCAAGTTTTGATAAGAGACTTTTCTTCTTTTTAATTCAGATATTTTATGTTGGTGTGTGTAAATGTAGTTGCAGCTCCTTTAAAATCATTTTCAATATAACTTGAATACTATGATTTTTGTAGTAGAGAATCTTCCACTCGTGAATATTTTAAATGGGGGAATGGGCCCTCAATACCTATTTAAAGTTGACTTGACTGCAAATAACAACTACCTATACATTTGCTTCTGGCTAAATGTGAAATATTCATATAAGTTTTGCTTCTGGGTCATACTTCTAGGAGGAAATATGTATTACAAGCAACCAGCAACCAAAGCCTAAACAAACAGAGAGATCTAATGGCTTGGAAGTCTTTGAATGAAGCTTGCCTTTTTTTCTTGTGCTTTGGAAAAGAACATGTGTGTGTTTGCATGGGTATACGTTTAAGAACATTTCCGGTGAATACGTCGTCACTTGTTTGCAGTTAACATTACAGAATGTGAATCTGATATCTTTTCTTGAACGTTATCCAAAACCATTACAAAGCAGCCAGGGAATTTCCACCTGCCAGAAATGATTTAGATGTTAAGACAATTTAATAATGATAATCCTTCCATGTGGTGGGGAGGAATGATTGCAAAGTGTGCATCATTCTTCTCCCTATTTTACACAGTAAATTCAAATAAAATTTTAGACAAAACAGTTGAATATAGGGGTTTTTTTTTTACCAAAAGATGTACTGGTGATTCATCTAATGAAGTAAAAATATTTTGTACTTTGAGGCAAGAAAAGGAAACTAGACTGAAGTATCATGTGGAGTTATTGTGGTTGGTAAAATTAAGTTTCTTCTAGTTTGATATACAAAATGCAGTTGCTAAAAATGGTCCTTTAGCACTCTCTCCTTAGATACAAAACAAGATTGAGCACTTGATCAAAAGGGAGTTTTTGTGGACATCTGCAAATCTGCTTATGGGAGGAGGGTTCACATCCTGGATGAAATAAATGTTTGCTTATTTGGTTCTCATGCACAACAGTGAATCATTTCATCAGTTTTCACCTTCCTATGTGAGAATATAAGGGGGTTCATCTAATTGTCAACCACTATTTATGCTTTATGACACATTTCAAGGAAATCTCTATTTAAAATAACATATACTTTCTCTGGGTGGGTGAGGGGGTGGACAAAAGTATGGTTTTTGTGCACTCAGCAATGGGTTGTGATTTTTTTGTTGGTTTGTGCATAAAATATGCTCAAAACCATATATTTCTATATCAATAGATTTTTGTGTAAAGAGATTTTCCTGAAAAAAAGTCTTAAAATCAAGAGCTTTTACCTATTTTCTCACAGGAATGCCTGAGATCTTTTCTTCATTGAGAATATGAATATTAGCAATCATTTTTATCATTCCCAATTCCAACTTCTCTGGCAAATAATGCAAAAAAATTATATCAAGGGAATGAATTAATGCAGACTGACAGACACCACTTTAACTGCCATGACTCAATGCTGTGGAATAATGGGAGCTGAAGTTTGGTAACACACTGCTACTCATTGCCGAGAAGGCTAAAGACTTTGTAAAACTACAAATTTCATGAGTCCATAGCTGTTAAAGTGGTATCAGACAACATCCGTTCTGAAGAACAGATGCGTCCATGGAGATCCCTATTTCGTCATTTGCTTAGCAGGGCAGAAGAAGAGAGAAGTCCTTTCCATGTCGCAATATCCATGTTGTTTCCATCTGCAGAGATCTTCAATCAGCTACAAATCTACAGGGTTCTGAGATCTTCTGGAGTTCTCCTTGTTGTTCCCACCATTCTCACAGATATAGGTCCAGAGAAAGATGAAAGGCCCTCCCTCTATCCCAACTGCTACAGCTTTGGCTTCAGAAGGAGAGAGGACAGGGCAGTAACTGCTGGATTTCTGTCCTTTCCAATATTGGGCAGGGGGTTGTATCCTTCCTTACTTGTTCTAGAGGCAAGGAAGGAAGCCTTGTTCACAGGCTGGATTGCAAGGAGAAGGAGGCAGCTGAAGCCTGCAGGGTCAGTGAAGGAAAGGGTCAGGGATAGCTCCATCATCGCTGGCTCATTGTAAGGAAGGAAGGGAAGGGAAGAAAGCATATGGGCTCTCTTGCCTGGTTGGACCAGTGACAGAGGAGCACCCTGAGCCCAAGTACCAAAAAGAGCCAGGGCTCTGTTTGGGATGAAGGATGAGGGGAGGGCCAGCGAGAGAAGAAGGATGTGTGTGTATGTTGGGGGGGGGGGTTATGCTGCAGGGCTCCTTAATAGCCACACTGCATTGACTCAGGTTTTCTGTGAAACACCACCACAGACCACTTTTCTATTTTTTGCAGACCACCTGTGGTCCAGAGACCACTGGTTGGAAACAACTCCTAATGGATCCAACTCCTGTATCTTTAATGGTAGTGTGGAAGAGAGAACTTCATAGAATCATAGAATCAAAGAGTTGGAAGAGATCTCATGGGCCATCCAGTCCAACCCCCTGCCAAGAAGCAGGAATATTGCATTCAAATCACCCCTGACAGATGGCCATCCAGCCTCTGCAGGTGTTGCTTGTTATGAAACAAGGTAACAAGCAACACTTGCTAAAATTCCTCCTTTTATTCAACTATTAAAAGTATGATATCTTCCCCCAGTTTCGCCCTACCAGCCCTACTCTAGTGAGAACATGTGAGAGGGATTTCTTGGTGGCTATTCCCAAGTTTGGAATCTTCTACCTATAGTGAAGTTAGCCATCTTTGCTATTTCTTTGTAGGCAGAATGTATTTACAATTTTTACAAAGTTGCAATTTATAATTTGATTCCTCTCAAACTCTTGGACAATAACATTTTATCTACCTTTTAAGTTTTTGTAAGCCACCTTGGACCACAACCTGGGAGAAAGACACTATGTCCATTTAATAAACATACATTGTTTGACTGGTGGGGGTGGGGGGTGAGCAGATAGCAATTACTGGATGGCATATGTTCTGTACCAGAAACTAGAGCTGAAATGCAATTTTCTGAATCACCACCCCAAATAACCAAATCAAATTTAAAGTTGACCAAAAACTGATTCGTAACCCTTTTGGTCCTAATGTTGGAGAGTGGTCCCTGGTCAAAGTGGTCCCTGGGAACTACTGCTTTAACCCTTCTTTGAGGTTGAAAGAGTACGACTTGTCCAAGGTCACCCGGTGGGTTTCATAATCAAGTGATGATTCAAACCCTGGTTTCTAGTCAGAGTCCAACCACTATACCATACAAGCTCCTACGTGTTTAGAGAACTTAAAATATTAGTTAGCATATGTCTTGAAACCACCACTGCTGGAAGCCCATTATCATTAGAGCAGAAACACCACACAGTTCAAAACAATAATGTAAAACTATTTTTTTATTGAAAATACACCTACAAAGTAATATTTATCAAGCCACACTGGGTGCACCCAGCTGCCAGCCCACGAAGGGCACAGAAAAAAGATTGTTCTATCGTACCTGATTTTTTGTAAGAAACAGAGTTAGTGTAAAAAATACATGTAATTAAAAAAGCAGACATATTTTAACACATTTTTTCCTTATGTAGATGTTATGGAAGGACCATCTTTTATATGAAATCTTTGTGGCGTATTTCCAGAATTGATATCCAATCAAAAACACAAATGTAATTAAAAAGTTACTCAATAAACTCTAATATTAACCTCTGTACACACATATTTGAATACGGTATCTATAAAAATATCTCTAGTTACATATCAGAAGATGCCTGTCTGTCATCTAGGTTTCCTGTTAGCACAAATAAGAAATGAGTAAAAGGGAAAAAAGAGCATCCATTATTGCATTCGGTCAGAGATGACTTAAGAACGTTGCCATGTTTAAAGCATCCCTGATTCCTGAATACATACACTGAGTTAACGGCTATTCGCTTTCAGTAAGGAAGTGATCACAAAGACGCTAAGAGAGTAATGAGATGTGCTATTGACACACTTGGCCTTATCACTCCAAAGGGAAGACCTGCCCACGTCCAGCATTCTGATACTTTCATAATAGTGTTAACATTTCCACTTCACATTTTAAGGGTGCAAGTCTCCAGGGCTTATTCACAACTCACACTTTTCAACAGATCCTCGGGACACATCTGCACTTCACAAATACTGCACTTTGATACCATGGTTCCTTCCTATGGAATCCGGGAATTTGTAGTTTAGTTGTGGAACTTGGAACTCTCTACTGTAGTTCAGAAGAGGAAATGATAATTTTCTAGGGGAGCATTCTCCCACTAAACTACAAATTTCAGAAATCCATAGCATTTTAAGTTTACAGTTTACATGGCACTGAATGGGTGAAACTGGTGTGGATATAGCACTGGATGTTATCAGAGAGCTCTTGGTGGTACACTATATATTGAGTAGCCTGTTCTCATGTTACCACCAGTTTGGCAACTTCCTGAATAAATAATGGAAATCTTGGGCCAAGGGGGAAATCACCCATTGATAGCTTCCTCCACATTCTTTGGAATGGGGCACCATGTGCCACAGAGTGGAACCCATATTATCTTCTTTCTCATGACCTCAATTTTCTGAAGTTAGGTTCTATACTCCAAAAATGTGAAGGTAACATGGTGGAGGGATTGGGGACAGATCCAGACAGTGGAAAAGTCCATGCCAACCTGAGTTTTGGGGCCACACACTGGCCCCAAAAGCTTTGTGGTGAATGAATTCATTTTTACGTGGGGCATCGTTTGGACGCCCTACTTGAAAATGTGGGAGTTACCATTTTTAAAGGGCTGTCTGGATGTGCCCTGGGACTCCTGAGTTTGGAAATGCTACCTTTTTGATCTTAGCCTCCTGAATCCAGGTCCCTTCCACACTGTCCCTATATCCCAGGATCGGATCCCAGATTATGTTCTTATCCCAGATTATCTGGCAGTGGAGACTCATATAATCCAGTTTAAAGCATATAATCTGGGATCAGATCCTGGGATATAGGGCAGTATAGAAGGGCCCTAGTTAAGGATTTGGGAAATTAGATGCTTTGGAAACTCTGGAAAGAATATTAATTATGAGCTTCAATCTTTCTAGTGGCTGTTGAATCAGCACTTCCTTTTATTATTTCACCAGGGAGTGTCAGTGCATGAATGCAGGGTTAGGTTATCCTCAATGACTTGAAGCATTTTTCCCCCAGATAAACAATTAATATAAGCAAACATCAGTGGAGAACATCTTAGCAGATGGCAACTTTGCTGTGCTGATATCATAGGTCTTGGGTTTTTCAGGATTCTTTAACATCTGTGACCAAATGAATGGAGTCTCAAGGGCAAAGGTGAAGTTTTAACCTTGAAACACTGAAGTGACAGCTAATGCACTGCATCTGCTTTCGGAAATACTGCTGAAGAACTTAGAAAAGAAAATTAAAACCAGCCATTGGTTTTAATTTTCTAATACGCTACTGACAACTCTTGATGCTGAGGAATTTGCTAGAATGGATAACTGTTCTTAAAAAATATTTTTAATATTATTTTTATTTTTGCACATGCAGCAAAAAGTCTCCTTTAAAAAAATCTATAGTGAATAAAACAGGTCAAATTAAATGGAAGCCCACCCTTCTTGAAAGCTTTTTCCTGTGCTAAGCAATTCAAAAGGAGCTCTCGGTGGCACTTGTGCCAGCAGGACTGCTGACCGAAAGGTTGGCAATTTGAATCTGGGGAGCGGGGGTGAGGTCCCACCTGTCAGCTCCTGCTTCTCATGCGGGGACATGAGAAGTCTTCCACAGGATGGTAAAACATCCGAGCATCCCTTGGGCAACGTCCTTGAAGACAGCCAATTCTCTCACACCAGAAGCAACTTGCAGTTTCTCAAGTTACTCCTGACACGAAAAAAATTTCAAATGTGGCAGTGGAAATGTTATTGAACCCTGTCAGATGCTCTGCATGTTCTGCTGCCTACCAGTTCATCTGTATATTCTCATTTAATTTGTAGCAGAGATTTTCAAAGAAGTATCTTGTTAGATAGTTAAGGATGAAGATAGACAGACATTTTAATTGTGCATAAGTGGCTTGACCTCACAGTGGATGAGTTTGCATTTAACGCTGAACAATAACGCAGCCCTCTGTGCTTCAGTAGAAAGAAGCCTGTGCAAAGCCATGGCCTCATTCTCATTAGTCAATTGTGCGATAAGTGAACAACAAACACTGTGGGGTTTTTCAGGCTTGATTCACCAACCAAAGTGTATTTTAAGCTACAGTTCCTGTTCTGTATATAGCAACAAGTTAGGAATCTGCTAAAGCAAAAGTCTATTCCTTCTTCTGTATCACGCACATAGTGCTAAATTATGATTTAGTGTTATCAGCAGATATATCCAGTGTCTGCTTTGAAAATTAATTGGATGGAAATAGAATAAACGTGCCTTTTTAAAAAGCGCATTTCCAACACTCTGGAATGGCTGTCTTCACCTTTAGGTGGCCAAATGCAATGTACTTTTTGCAGAAGTAGAGTTTGAACACTCAGCTCTAAGATTTAAACTGGCATACTACTCTCTTCTTTCCAGAGATAGGAATATTCACAGTACCCAGACTAAGCTACAATTTACAAGATTCACTGGAGCAGCCACAACATTTAAATGGGTGTGCATGAACAGTGGAGAGAAACACTCTTAAAATGTGATTTAGGATACCAATTTGTAGCGAACATTGAATTGCCTTTTAAAGTCATTCAATGTGTAGCTACACATATCTAAGTCCCACCTACACATTCTGTAACCCATGAAGAAGCTGAACACTAGCTGTGCGTTATAGTCTGTCTGATGCTTGTCAATTCTCTTGTTTTGTTGCCTGGCAGGCAGCAAAAGCAAGGCATTTTATCAGCTTCTGATACCTGGCTACATTCAACACTTGGTGGGTCCTGGCTTGTGCAGGTGGTTTGATAATTTCCAAAGGGAAATGGATGCCCAGCAGCTATTTTGAAAGCCTACACTGATGTGGTAACCACAGTTTTTAGCAGCCCTCACAGTAGTGGAGGCTTGAAGATACAGTTCCTTTTCCAAAGTGCATGTGTATATATTTATATATATATACATATATTAGATCTCTGATCCTGGAAAGACTCTGTGCATAGGTTATCAGTACTTGTGTTAAATAGTAGTATTGTAATCCAAAGAGGAGCATAACATTACACAGAGATAATTGGAGGTTCATGATCTAGGAAGTCAATGGGACTTGAAGGTGCACAGCATCAGGAAATTAAGGTTTTCCTGATCCAAAAATATCCCATTGGGTATGAATGAAAATACGGTATGTCCTTTTTATTTAGCTGGTAATAAACGTGAAATATGGAGAGTATTTAATCCTCAATAATAATAACAATCATCAGTATTCCTACATTTACTGCTCTTATGACAATAAAATAAGGAAAAGATGTTTTTTCAAAAATGAATTTGCTACTCACTGCTCTGGAGGATAGCATTAGGTTTAAAAACAGCTTTGCACTGCTATTCTATACAAGCCTACTTTGAATGAGGATATACAACCATTTCGTTGAATATAATGCATACTCCCAGATAAGAGGCTGCAGCCTTAGTGGTGTTAAAAATGTGTAAAAGTCATTGAAACAAATAAAACCTTTCAGGATTTCCTCTCTGTGTTGCTTTTCAGCTTCTATTAAGTGCGATCACATTTTCAGGACTAAGAAACATGTACACTTGAAAATTATTGATAATCTGATTAAAAATATTGTGTATTCTCAAGCATATCTCACCACACGACTGTGTGATGCCTCTTTCTTTCCTTCTTTCCTTCCTTCCTTCCTTCCTTCCTTCCTTCCTTCCTTCCTTCCTTCCTTCCTTCCTTCCTTCCTTCTTTTCTTTCTCTCTTTCTTGGGGCACAATTACATACTGCAATCACAACTAATGTAGACTAAAGGCATAACTAGACATGGCAAGAAATGAGGTTGCTGCCATTCCATTTCTCTTTCTTCTGCGTAACATCTAGGCAAACACAACATCTGACCTGGTGTCATGTCTGTTCCTCTCCTTTTGCTTCAACAGCTGCGGGAGAAGGGTAAGGCACACACAAAAATGACATCACACTTTAATATTGTGCCTACCTAGCATTACAAAAAGGAAGAGCCAAAGAGCCCTTATTCGTGACACAGCTCCATGTCTCTCATGTCTAGGCAACCCCTAAATCTTTTCAGTGCTCTGTTTGGATAGAGAATGAAAAAGTAGGACAAATAGACAAGATACAGAAAGGACTGGACAAAGTGTACACTTCCCACGTAATCCGGCGTTTTTTGTCTCGGGTCTTCGGCCTTACATCTTGGTTTCACTGTCTAAGGGCTTTTCATTCTCATTCTCTTGTGAGATCAGCTGGTAAGGCTTCTTCATTTCATTCTCTTCTATCACAGAATTGCCCATCTCGGCATCCTTGCTCCGCAACTCATGCCGCGACAAATGTTCTACAATCCCTGCACCAATGGAATCTCCCAGGACGTTGGTAGTGGTGCGTAGACGGTCCCTACGGAAAAGGTTGCAATTTCAATAAACACGGCTGCTGAAACTGAAATTGTTAAATTGCTAACAATTCAAAAGGAATTGACACATTACATGTTCATATTCATTTCCTTCGCACATCGAGATTAGGAAAAGAGCATGTTCTGCAAAACAATACAATGAGCCCTCCACATTTGCTGTGGTCAGGGGCAAAGGATCCCCATGAAGAGTGAATGAAGAAATTGCTGTTTTTTAACCTGACAGAAAAAAATATTTATGAATTTTTAGGTCTCCCAGCATGGCTCTACAGTCAACTTATACTGGAAGCTAACTACAGAATGGTATTGGAGGGGTCTGGAAGTTGCTAGAGAAGTGTTCTCGAGAAATTTCTATATCGTCCAGCATGGCTGGAGGAAGTTGACCAGAGTCCATTAATAATCAAATCTGCAAAAGTCAAAGCCACAAATGTAGAGAAACAACTGTGAACTGTGTGCTGTTACATTAAGAAAATTGCTAGTATACAGAAGGTACCTAAGTAAATCTAAAGAATTTAACAGTGGATACGATACGTCAGAATATTCCTTGCTTAAGAAAACCGTATGACATTCATGGGGTCAACAAGATTTTTTTCCATGTGAGGAGCAACTTGAGAAATGGCAAGTAGCTTCTGGTGTGAGCGAACTGGCTGTCTGCAAGGACATTGCCCAGGGGACGCCCAGATGTTTAGTGTTTACCATCTTGTGGAAGGCTTCTCTCATATGCCAGCATGGGAAGCTAGAGCTGAGACGGGAGCTCACCCCACTCCCAAGATTTGAACTGCCAGCCTGTCTATCAGCAGTCCTGCCAGCACAAGGATTTAACCAATTGCACCAGTAAGGGCTCCATGGAGTCAACAAGTGACTTGAAAGCACATACACATGTTGCATGTTTAGCTTTAAATGTTTTTATATTTTTAACAATGAAAATTTGTTTAGTTGTGTTTAAGATTTTATTCACTAACTACTAGCTTTGTCTTGTTTTAGCACTTTTCTAAATTCCTTGGGTCCCATGCTGTGAGAAAGGCGATATAAAAATAAAACCTGGAATTAGGCATGTTTGGAGGGTTCCACATGCTCCCACACCTATTGCTGACTCCACTAGCATTTTTCAGAGATACCTGAAGTAACCAAGAAACTTCTGGCTTTTCTGAATGTATGAGTGGGAGCTGAAATGATCCCTGTTTAAGAGGGAACAACATCCATATAAACACTTCCAATTTTCAGTAAAAAAAGGAAAAAGAAAGCCGACATGATGGATAATAGGCCCAGGATGCTTTTTTTGTTGTTGTATCTTGACCACATGTTGCATGATTTCTCACCTTGTCTATTATAATATCATGGACATGGATGGCTCAAAGGTAAATAAACCTCTGTGGAGCTATATGATTTGGAAGGATCTGAAACATCATGTAAAAGATGCCTGTAACAAGATAAATTTGTACTCACTTTGATCGCCTAAAAATGTGTTGCCCAGTGAAATTTTGTTGACACCATGGATTGTAAAAAGCATCATAATAGAAAACCCAGCAGTCACACAGATATGCAAATAAACTATTGTATATGTTACATGTATTTACGTCCTTCTTACTTTGTGGCGCAGCTGGCTGGGAGTCAGCTGCATTAAGATCACTACTGACCAAAAGGTCATGAGTTCGAAGCCAGCCTGGGTCAGAGTGAGCTTTTGACCAATTTGTGTAGCTTGCTGTTGACCTTTGCAGCCAGAAAAACAGTTGTATCTGTCAAGTAGGAAATTTAGGTACCTCTTATGCAGGGAGACTAATTTATGGCGCCATAAAAATCTCCAGCAAGCATGCAAAGAATGAGGATGTACTTCATCAGTGTCACAAATGGAAGGTGAAGTGACAGCTCCCCTGGCGGCCAGAATACTCTCATGAAAAAGCTGGAATGTTAAATAGCCTCTGTGTGATTGTCTATATATGTTGTGTGTCTATGGCATTGAATGTTTGCCATGTATATGTACGTTGTAATCCACCCTGAGTCCCCTGCGGGGTGAGAAGAGTGGAATATAAATACTGTAAATAATAATAATATATATATATAAATAAATAAGGATGGGTGAATACCAGTTTCTCTTCATTTTCTCTATCACAGTAACTGATGAGGTAGAGCACTACAGAATGTGTTGGCAACGAGGGAAGGTTATTCAGTGGTTTTCCTAGATGTGCAGAACACCTTATGAGAATCTTCACGGTTCTTGAGTCCTACATAATTATACTACTGCGATTCCACTTTAATTGCTATGGATAAAGTTTTAAAAATCTTGGGTTTTGTAGTTTGGTGAACTACTGAAGCTCTCTGGCCGAGAATTCTAAATATCTCTTCCCTAGATTACAAAAACCCTAGGATTTCAGTAAGGTGGAACCATGGTAATTAAAATGTAATCATGCTACTATAACTGTAAAAAGCCTTCAAGTATTTTTTTTAACAGTGAACCATACACGTTTCTTCTGTCTACAAAATTATAATTCCCAAATTCTTTACAATACAAGTGACCACTGTAAAGAAGCACAACACATTATAGGATGATAAACAACAATGAATTGCAACTTCAGTTTTGACATGCATCTGTAGCCTGTTCCAATTTATAACATGCCTTCCCGCTGATTCCATGAGAAATACTCACAAAAACCAATCCACGGCAATGATGAGAGTGATATCGTCTGTAGGCAAACCGACAGATGTCAATACAATCACCATAGTGACCAGACCGGCCTGAGGAATCCCTGCTGCACCAATGCTGGCAGCTGTAGCTGTGATGCTGGAAAAAAGAGACACGAAATCCATCATGTTGGTTTTTGAAAATGTTTTTCAAACATTCATACGTCCTAATGATCTTTTGGGTTTTACAGATGTGAAGCTAAATCAAGCCTGAATTCACTAGTAGTTTTCACCATTTTCGGCTCTCATGGGGAAAAGTGGTACATAAACTAGATAAACCATGAACCACAGCTCTATTGTTCTTTGCCTAATAGATATTGTAATGTTAGTAAACTGAATCCATCATTCATTAAGGCTGTTTCTTTGCAAAAATAGGATCGATCAGTTATGCAGAACAGCTACAGAGCATTTCAAATACATTAAAAGGGTCGAAAATCCCTCTCAAGAAAGAAATCAATCAATCAAAAAGCAGGATTTCATATTGTATTGACTGAATTGTAGCTAATTATGCAAATGTAATATATTCCCTGAAAACCAGGCAAGTATATTATTTTTAAATGCATCAGCTGGCTTTTAACCAAATAATTGTAATGAAATTCACATATTACCAAGATTGAAGTAGAGGTTTCTATTTGAGATATGAGATAATACACAACGACATCCTTTAGTAGTGGCAGGGCTCTGCTTGTTGGTGTTGCTGTGTGCTTTCAAGTTGTTCCAATACTATGGAGAGGTGTATCTATAATGGGGTTTTCTTAGCAACGTTAAAAAATGTTGTTGTTGTTGTTGTTGTTGTTGTTGTTGTTGTTGTTGTTGTTGTTGTTGTGTGTCTTGAATCCATTTCCAGACTTTGGCAACCCTAAGATGAATCTATCACAAGGTTTTCTTGGCAAAATTTGTTCAGAAGGAGTTTGTTTTTGCTTTCCTTTGAGGTTGAGATAATATGACTTCCCTCAGGTCACCAAGTGAGTTTCCATGGCTGAGTGCAGATCTAAGTTTTGGTCTCCAGAACTATAAGCCAACAAACTACCACACTGCATTGGCTCTCACTGTGTCCCCATTGGGCTGTTCATGTGCCTGCAGAGTCATGTACACACACACACTAAAATTATCGATTGTGCTTGGATATCTGGCATGTCTATATCCAGAATTTGAGCAAGGTAGGCCTGAATGGAAATGTACTGAAATTCCATCTCTCAAAACTGCTTATCATTGTGTCATAGTGCATGTCTCTGTATGCATACTGGGCATTTGTATGCATACTAGGGTTTGTTTGGATTCAAGGGTTCTAATGAAATTTGCCTGATAACTTGTAGTGAGGATGAAGTGTGCCTTGCCTCAAGATTTCTCACATTTGTAAAGCTATGAGAGGATCTCAGAGAAATAAAGTAAGATCCTTGTATTTGGGAGAGAATACGTTCCTGGCCAGTCCACAGTTACCTAAAACTGTGAGTATTTATTTATTTAGGGCATTTATATCCTGTCCTATCTCACCTCCACAGAGGGACTCAGGGCGGCTAACAACCGGCACAACATAGTGCCCACAATACGAAAAGCATAAATATACATAATATAATAAAAACAGTATAAAACAATATAAAAACATTAAATACAATGCTGAATTCAGTCATAATCCTAAAAGCAGTACAACTAATTGGCATTAAGTAACCTGATTTCCGGTCCCAGGTATCTTCTCTAGGAATTTGCTAGGTCCTACATTGCAATTCTTATATTAATTGCAAGGGGAAGTGTACTATAAAATTGCCTGGAGGACTGACCAAATTCCTAGAGAGACTATTCCCCCCCCCCCCCCCAGGCATGAATCAATGAACTGCAGATAAAGATTCAGTTATTACAGAGTTCTTAGGCCCATCCACACAGATACTATAATCTGGATGGAAGCTGGTCTGAGATCTTGAGTCTACAAAATATCCACTCACAGTGCGACCTCCAACAATGCATCCATTTGGAAACTGTGTATTTAAAAACCCATCAGAAATTCTGGATCATGCCATAAAATGCACTGAAATTGATTATTTTATAACAGTACAGTCCTGCAAAGCACGAAAAGCATCCAGAGCACTTGTTGGGTTAGGGTTAAAGTTGCAGGCAGAATCCAGATAAACAGCTTGGAGTGAAGGTAAACAATTGCCTCCCCTGGCAAGGAAAGGGCAGCATTCTATGGGAATCCTAAATTGCCTGGCTCAACCAGCACATTTTGTGGAGGAGCAATGAAAAAAATTAATCCTGGGTCTGGTTGGATCCAAATCAGTGGAAGTTTGTGGATTCCATGGGAGCGTGTAATTGATTCCTCAGGGGTGTCTGTGTTGGAGCAAACTGGATCTCTTCAATCCATATCAAAGTAAATGGCTGTGTGGACATTTTAAAATGTGAATGTGGGCAATTTTAAAAGGGCAGAATTGAAAAAAATACATGCAAACACTCTTTAGTCAATGTGAATGAGTGTGTAAATAAAGCACATTTGGTTACATACAATAAAAAGTCACAAACATGTCAATATGGAATCCCTGAAATCTCAAAACACAAAGAAAGATGGGAAGAAAATATCCATGGAACTAGAGAAAGAAAAGCAGCAAAATCAAGACTTCAACATGAATTCTCTTTTCATGTTGAGGGATTTGTCTAATTCATTTTGTTACTTTACTGGCTGCAATTAATCTGTCACAACAAAAGATACCAATGTATTACACACAAATGTAAAGACATAAATTCAGCATTTACGAACCTGATTGTGATAATCTGTCCAAAATTTAGATCCATATTATTAACCTGTGCGATGAAAATTGCAGCCAGCGCCTCATATAGAGCTGTCCCATCCATGTTAATGGTCGCACCAACAGGGAGCACAAATCTCGTAATGCGCTTATCCACTCCATTATTCTCTTCCAAACACTTAAATGTGATCGGTAAGGTGGCAGAACTAAAATCCAAAAGAAGAAACAATGAAATAATATTGTGTTTTAGTACTGGAAAAGCAATGCTTTCAGATGTGGATGATGACTGAACACATGTTATTAACAAGAACAGAAAATTTTGCATCTGTGAATGAAGTATCTTAAAACAACACAATGGAAATAAATTTCCAGTGGAATTAGTTCACACATCAAGCATAAACTAACATGGCACTGAATGCATAATGGAAAGTCCATCCAAATATGGACACTGTCAGGACCGTAGCAAGAAAAAAATTTCAGGGGGGGGGAGAGGTTGGAAATTTCGGGGAGGGTTGAAAATTTCGGGGGGGGGGGGTGAAACCTGCCTCCTAGCTCACGCTGAAGCAAAGAGCACAGCAGGGGGCAGAGCAGCCTTCAATAGCCTGCAGCTCCGCCCCTGTCAACCACCTCCACCAAGTCTGGCCTCCTTAATGAGAGCATTCAACACCCCCCGCCCCAACTTGGTTGCTTCGCTACATCGGCTATTGCTGCAAGTAATGACAGTGTGAATAAATTGTCAATATTTGCTTGAGATAGTGCTTGCAGTTCTGGAGGGACTCTTAAATTTTTGCATCTCATAGACTTAGCATGGGGATTTGGTTAACCAGTTAAAATTCATGAGTAAACCAGGTTTTTTATAAATGAAAAATTGGGGGGGGGGTTTGAATTTTGGTCTGTTTTTATTCTATGTTTTGACTTTGCCTTTTTTTTTTTAAACCCCCCCCCCCCCCCCCCCCCGGGCTACAGGCCTGGACACTGTCTATATTAGTGAGTGCGGCTATAAAATTTTTGGTGGCCATTTTTATGCCTAGATTCTTCTATAGATTGAATGGCTACTGAAAAATAAAACAAAGGACTCAAAAGTGGACAGAAATCTATTCTTCGTTTCCAAAAAATGTTTTTTAAAATGCTAAACAATTCAGGAGTCCCTTGCAACCAATTTTAAAAGAAAACTATTGCACCTAGAGGTGTCTGAGAGCATCATTTTTTTCCTTTGCCTAGAAAACGGTCAGTCTAGAGCATGCATGGGCCAACTTCAGTCCTCCAGGTGTTTTGGACTTCAACTCCCACAATTCCTAACAGTCTCAGGCCCTTTCCTTTCCCCCCTCAGCCACTTAGGACTGAGGCTGTTAGGAATTGTGGGAGCTGAAGTCCAAAATATCTGGAGGGCTAAAGTTTGCCCATGAGTGGTCTAGAGATGCTGTAGGGGTCAAGGGCAACAGAGGGCGCACCTACACTGTTGAACGAAATCAGTTTGATTCAACTTTAACTGTATGGCTCAATGCTATGGAATCATTGGAGGTGTAGCTTCTGGAACATGGCCATACAGCCTGGAAAACTCACAACAACCCATTGTAGATGTAGTTTAGTGAAGCTTCATTCATATTTGGCAGAGAGAACAAAATATCTTGTCAAACTATAACTCCCATGATTCCTTAACATTGATCCATAAGAGTTAAAGTAGTGTCAAACTACATTGATTCCACAGCTTAGATATGCTCAAAAACATCCTTGGGGACTGCAGAGCAAAACTCTGCCTGCCTCTGGTCTAAACTCTATTGCTTTCACTGATATGAGAAACCAAACATGCATATTTTTGTAAAGCAATGCTTGAAGTGTATTTATACCCAGTTGTGAAATGATAAAATTATACAGATCTATACACATCAAGTAAAATTCCACCTAAAGTCAAACTTGACGTGGTTGCAAATATCTGTACCTTGATGATGTTCCCAAGGCCGTGATGAGAGCTTGAAGTAATCCTCCAATAAAGACCCAAGGGTTCTTTCGAGTAATTAAGAAATAGATCAATGGGAGAACAACAATAGCATGGATGAGCAAGCCAATGATAACGGTGATAGTATACATGGCAAGCTGGCCTCCAATGACCCCCATATCTTCCATTTCAACAATTTTCCCAGCAATCAAAAACAAGATACCAAGTGGTGCATACCTACAAACAAATGACAGAGTTAATACTATATTATACAAACATCCAATTGCAGTCCTATTATTTGTAGGATTTAGGTACTATGTAATACACTCTTTTTCTTTTCTACTCAAAAATTCCTATACGAATGCTACCATTTGAAACACAATGATCTATTTTATACATTCCCAGAAATGGAAAAGTTTGAGGGTTTTTTTTGGACTACAGCAGCTAGAATATTCCATTTAACATGCTTATGAGTATTGCTGCCTGGCAGGCTCTAGAACAGTGATTCTAAACCTGTGGGTCCCCAGGTATTTTGGCCTACAACTCCCAGAAATCCCAGCCAGTTTACCAGCTGTTAGGATTTCTGAGAGTTGAAGGTCAAAACATCTGGGGACCCACATACTGAGAACCACTGCTCTTGAAGCTTTAGTCCAACTCCCCCCCCCATTTTTTCCAAAGTCTGATTCATTGCCTCGACAGCCTTAAGACTGTGAAGCAGTCTATAAACATCTCAGTCAATCAATCAATCAATCAATCAATCGATCGATTGATTAATTTACTGACTAGTAAGTCCAGCTCAATGCAGTGGAACTTATTTTCAAGTAAACAAGCATCAGAGCACGTCTACACTGTGGAATTAATGCAGTTTGATACAACTTTATTTGGCATGGCTCAGTGTTATGGAATCATGGGAGTTGTGCCAAAGAGCGCTGGTGACAAATTACAACTCTCGTAATTCCATAGCATTGAGCCATGGCAGTTAAAGTAGTGTCAAACTGCAGTAATTCTACAGAATGGAGCCAGCCTTAATGTAGAATAAATGTGTAGTTTTGGATGAACTGAAAATTTGTGGTCTGGGTTCAGGAGGTGGACTATCTGCAGTGTCCAGTGAGTCTCAAAAGCTCTCCTCAAGCAATCAAGTTAGATTTTAGATAAACGATCTATCCCCTGCATGTGACCAGGTGAATAGAGAAAGAGAACAAAAGGTGACAACAATGAAAACAAGCTCATTTTTTGTTCTTGCCTTGCCCACTCTGGATCTAGCCTTGTTAGGGCTACCAGATCATCATCATCATCATTGTCGTCATCATCAACACTTTATTTATATACAGCTCTATCTCCCATAGGGGACTTAGGACAGTTTCCACATAGGCAAAATAACACAGAAAACATACAGAGTAGCCATTTAAAACATAGACATACAATTATTAACACAAACATATATATTAAAACCAGTTTCAACACTATTCTATTGTGCAAAATAAGGAGCACCCCAGTCCCTGAGACCAAGAAATGGGTCCTGATTATCTAGTTAAGTAAGACAGTCAAAGCACCCAACACAACTTCTCTAAACATGTCATTCAAATTAAAACAAATGTGAAATTATATTACTCTGGTTGGAAATTAAGATTTTCAAACTCTGCATTGAACAGGAAAAAAAATCACAAACTTTTCTACTGTTCCTAACACCTTTGTGAGCAGTACTTTTAATAGCACATTAGAGTTACAGCCTAAGTAAGGAAATATTTCTAATTTCTGCTTTAAAGACAAACACCCAATTCAGTTTTTAAGATTTCCGCAAGCACTGATTCATACCTTTCTAACAAAGTTATCCAAACTCTGCTTCTAGTGGTATATTTCCATTAATCACTCGTCACTCCCTCCTTCCCTTTTTTTCTTTCTAATCAGGTTTAATTTGACTTCTGTGGTTTTGTTTCTCACTATCCACCTAATTTAATTTAATTTAATTTAGGAGCCCCTGGTTGCACAGTGGGTTAAAGCCCTGTGCCGGCAGGACCGAAGACCGACAGGTCACAGATTCAAATCCGGGGAGAGGCGGATGAGCTCCCTCTATCAGCTCCAGCTCCTCATGCGGGGACATGAGAGAAGCCTCCCACAAAGGATGATAAAAACATCAAATCATCCGGGCGTCCCCTGGACAACGTACTTGCAGATGGCCAATTCTCTCACACCAGAAGCGACTTGCAGTTTCTCAAGTTGCTCCTGACACGACAAAAAAAAAAACTCCCTAATTTATCTAATCATATATATCTGTTTATACTGGAATCTATCAAAGATTCCCACCCAGGAGATCCCTGAAAATGCCTGTTTCTGTGAGTCCAAAAGGAACACAGCTGAACACATCTCTGCTGCTCCCCTTGTTCTCCACCAACATGGGAATAGTGCGTGGGGTGATGGGGCCTCCACATTGAAAAGGTGAGTTGGGTCAATGGAACAGAATTTGGATTTCCATAATGACCAAATAAAGGTTGAAGTTATGATGGAATCTTCATTGTAACTTACTAACAGAATATCTGCCTAAGTCTCTTTGCATTAATCTAAGTATAAATGGGATGCCAAAATTCATGCCACATAGTCAATTCAGATTGGAGGCTATTGCGTGAGAATTTGTCAACCTCTGAGAAAATATTACTATACTTAGGAATGTTCAGAGGCCATATGTCATCTGAGTAAGAAAGTGTTTAGTAGAAAATAGCAGCAACTTGAGCATTCTCACAATATATTGCCACAGCGCATGACTTTTGGCATCTCTAGTATGTTTCAGTTTCTTCCAGTTAGCTCAAGGTGGCATTACATCACTGCTTTCCTTCATGGTTTATCTTCATGAGTTTGTGTCATAGGTTGGGATGAAAGACAACATGACTTGTCTAAGGTTGAATTTTATGGCTGAGCAGGGATTTGAACCTAGACCTTTCAAGTCCTGATTCAGTGTCCTAATGACTACATCAGCATCCAGCCATGTATTGACACAAACTAGTTGGAGATGAGGGAAGGATGTTGCCCCCACCAATCCGGCAAGAAATAAACAAACTTGAATCACTGCTGGGGAGGAGTGGAGTTGAAGAGCTGCCAGAAATAGCAGAAGACATAACTGAAGGGAGTACAGTGCATTGTGGGAGGGAGAGATGAGCAGGAATCCCACTGTGTTCACCACCACCAACAGGGCCAGGGATGTTCCAAGAATTTGCTGCTTGAGATAGAATAACAAATAATGACTCCAGCTTCCCAAAGTGATGTACATGATGTCCAAATACACTCAAATTATTGTGGCACAGGAAACCAAACACCCTTGCTCCCATCTCTAGCATGGGAAAATACAATATAGTGTGACCACCTCCTTGTCCTTGGCCAATATCTGTGGTTTCATCTCTAGACATTTGCTAAGTCCTCCAGCATTAGTCTATGGCAGTGGTTCTCAACCTGTGAGTCCCCAGGTTTGACCTACAATTCCCAGAAATCCTAGCAGTTTACCAGCTGTTAGGATTTCTGGGAGTTGAAGGCCAAAACATCTGGAGACCCACAGCTTGAGAACCACTGGTCTACGGTATTCTTGGGCAAGAAGTCTTTCATTTCAATTTGGTTTGCTACCATCCATACAAAGTCCAGGAAAATATCCCTGTGAATACAAGGGCCACACTGCAATAATAAACTATCAATGTGTTGCCCTCTCTATGGGAACACGTCAAACCTGCATGATGTCTCATTCTGCCTAAAGATAGGTTCAGACCTGAGCACACTACTTAGTTTTGTCAGAGAAACTGGAAAGTCTTCTCAATCTCCTGAGCTTTGAGGGGCTACGGGCAGTAGGATAGCAACATCTCCAACTTACCACATGATTAGTGCAACCAGCCGCATGATGGCCTCATTAAGGCTATCAAAAAATTCTCTCAGTGCCCTTCCTTGCTCCCTCATGTTCCCAATCACCAGTCCAAAGCTGATTGAGAACACTACCAGTCCAAGTGCATTCACTCCATTGACAGCCCCTGGAACAGGGATCATTTCCCTTTTCAACATCGTGAGGTTTTCCATTGCTTCTGAAACGTTGTTGATAATGCCATTGAGGAGAGATGTTTCATTTGAATCGTGTGTCGCTCGAGGAACCCGTTCCTCATAATTGGTTTTGAACTGTCAAGAGATGAGGGAAAAGGCATATATTATAGTTATATCGTCTTTAGTTGTAAGTGTCAGAAGATTTGCTTGAACATCTCAGGAGCAAGACAGAAGGAATCCACATGTTTCTGCTTTCTTCTATTCTAATTTTGATATGCATTTTGTGCAACTGCCTTTCCTCTGAATTCTGTCATTTCTCTAATAACAATAGTAAATACCACTACTATTGTGGGGTGCCAATATTGCCCTTATTTTGACAGCATGTTAAAACTTGGTTGTCCTGCCAAGTATCTTGAGTCAGCTAAGAACACAGCATGGTGTTCAATTTTTGAGAAAACATGTTTTATCTTAGACCCATTTATGCTCTACAGTTCGATCCGACCCATGCATTTTCACTATGTGAAAACACAATGTGTCCACAGAAAAATATTTATGCCATCTAAATGTGCCAACATATTTTTATTTCCACACTGGTGACCATATAGTCTTTTAGGTGATCGACATCTCTCCTCTCTTTTAGAAGGAAATTAAAAATGTGGATATGGGACCAGGCTTTTGGATAATCTGGCAGATAGACAAAGGATAATGACGACCAGAATTAATAGGATTGACAATGTGGAATGAATTTACGGACTCTGAGTTGGCAAACATTGAGCATAAGATTGGTTATACTGATTGTGTTGTATAATTGATTGTTTTAATTGTTTATAATTGCTGTTATATATGTTTTTATCTTATTGTCTGTGTTGGCATCGAATTGTGCCTTTTGTAAGCCGCCCTGAGTCCCCTCTTGGGGGTTGAGAAGGGTGGGGTAGAAATGTGCGAAATAAATAAATAAACAAATTCTTACAACAGAATGATAATGCTATGATTCCACTTTAAATGCCATGCCTTCATCTCATGAAATATTGAGAATAGGGAAAGATATTTAGAATTAGAACTCAAATTCCTCACCAAAATATAAGGCATTGGATTCCACTAGATTGAATGATGGTAGTTCAAATAATAATAATAATAATAATAATAATACTTTATTTATACCCCGCCACCATCTCCCCAAGGGACTAGGAGCGGCTTACATGAGGCCAAGCCCAACAACACATCAATAAAACAAGAGAGCAATAAATAAAAACAATACAATTAATATAAATCACATATAAACATTAACACACAAGGATTTAAAAACCTATGGCTGGGCCAAATTTAATAGTTTAAAATTAAAAAATAAATGCTGGGCATGAACAAGGTAGGATATGTCTGGTAGGAGGGTTTTTAAAAAAATAATCCAACGAATAGTTAAAGTGCATTCTGAGGACATTTTGCTGGGTATTATTTCCTTATTCTGGGAACGCACACTGGAACAGCCACGTTTTCAGGCTCCTCCTAAAGACTGCCAATGTTGGGGCATGCCTAATATCCCTGGGAAGTGAGTTCCAGAGTCAGGGGATCGCCACCAAGAAGGCCCTCTCCCTCGTCCTCACCAATCGCGCCTGCGAGGGAGATGGGAGCGAGAGCAGGGCCTCTCCAGATGAACGAAGAGATTGTGTGGGTTTGTACACGGAAATGCAGTCACGCATTAAATAGTGTGAAAGGGCCTCTACATTGGACTGAATGAGTTACCAGACTCCAGAACCGTCTTCATTATGTAGTACAGCATTTTATGAATTGTATAACAAACTATTGGTTTTTTATGTGAAAAGGACAGTGCACAATTACCTGTTTAAAGCAGGCTTCTACCAGATTTGGAGGAAACATATTTCTGTGAAGAAAAAAGGTGACAATTTGAGACATATTTGTAAATTTATACCATAACTGCAAGTCCAAATGGAAGAGAAAAGAACTCATTTCTATACCACAGCAAAGTAAAAGTGGTGCATATTTTAGGTTTATAAACCAAATATTAATTTTTAGGAAGCTTGGGATACAATGCATATTTCAGGGGGAATCAAACCCCACTGAATTCCATGGGATTTATGTCTCACTGCATTTGCCCCACTAATTCAAGCCCCATTGAAATCTATATCCGTCTGGAATGCAGGATTCAGCTGCATGGTCAGCATCCTTGGGAAGATAGATAGCTTCTTTACAGTTTGTCATATTCCCTCTCCATCTGACAGGATGACTAGGATGGTTTTAAATAGTGTATTTTAATATTTTGATAAATGTTTTTCAATGTTTATGTATTGTATGTGAATCTGTGTCCCGGCACTGAATATTTGCTGTGTATATGCTGTGCTCCGCCATGACTCCCCTTCGGGGTGAGAAGGGCGGAATATAAATATTTTAAATAAATAAATAAATATTATTTATTTTGACTGTCAGCAGCTTTTCAGGATCATAGGCATCTGCCTTTACCATTATGTTATCTGCCTGCATTAATAGGAAATGCATAAACTTGAAACCTTCCAGTAAGGCATCTTTCCTAACCCTTTGATATATTTTCAGAGGTATATTACACTAGATTCAACACAAAATCCCCTCAAAAATACAAAATTAGTATCTAGATTTAGCCATATGCCAAATAGATCTACTTAACACGAGAAAGATAAATCAATCATGAGTTATTTTAATGATCGCTGGATTAAAACTGAGGCCCCTTCCACACAGCTGAATAAAATCCCACATTATCTGCTTTGAAGTGGGATATATGGCAGTGTGGACTCAGATAGCCCAAATCAAAGCGGATATTGTGGGTTATTCTGCCTTGATATTCTGGGTTATATGGCTGTGTGGAAGGTCCCTCAGACATATAATATACTATTTGGAAATCTACGTCCCCATTGTGAAAGACCATGCTAATCCAGAATTCACTGTCACGTATGGACCCCACCGCTAAGGACAATCAGACTCCGCCACAAGTGATAATGACCATGCAATAATTTGGCAGCTAATCAAACTGATCCCTACAAAGTTTCTGCTTATCTTTAGGGAACCCATAGAAAATATGGTATTATATCTTAGTTAGCCTGCAGAGATATACAATCTATATCCACACAGCTGTATAAAATCCACATTGAACTGGATTATATAGCAAGTGAACTCAGATAATCCAGTTCAAAGCAGATATTGTGGATTGTCTTCCTTGATATGTCTGCCTTGATATGGTTCTGTGGAAGCCCTAAATCTTTCTTGGTCATCGAGTAGATATGTGATATGAATCTCATATTAAAATTATTTCTTCTACTGATTCAGAATATAACATAATTGACAATATAATAGCAACATAAAATAATATCTATCAAATTACAATTGATTGGAGATTGGCAGTAATGTGTTACAAATAACTATGCAAAATATAGCATTTTATGTGGGGAAATGAGAGAGTGCCTTTTTCTTCATTTTTTTACCATGATATTACTTTTTTAAAAAAGGAAAAAGAGTGAAACTAGTAATTTTCATACCATATTCCTAAAATATTGCTCTTGGGGCATCATTTTGCAGGATTTCTGGTCTTTTAAAAGAAAACACAACAGCCTGCAGAGCAGGGGGCTGGACTGGATGGCCCTAGTGGTCTCTTTCACTCTATGAGTCTATATATTTGTATCTATATCTTTATATCTATATCTATAATATTATATTGAAAGATGGAGCCCCCGTGGCGCAATGGGTTAAACTCTTGCGCCAGCAGGACTGAGGACTGACAGGTCGGAGGCCCGAATCCGGGGAGTGTGTAGATGAGCTCCCCCTGTCATCTCCAGCTCCTCATGCGGGGACATGAGAGAAGCCTCCCACAAGGATTTGGGTGTCCCTTGGGCAATGTCCTTGCAGACAGCCAATTCACTCACACTAGGAGCGACTTGCAGTTTCTCAAGTCGCTCCTGAAACAGATATATATATATATATATATATATATATATATATATGTATGTATGTATGTATGAAGGGTAACTATGAAGGGTAACACGTTAATAATAATGTGATAAGGTAAAGGTTTCCCCTGACATTAAGTCTAGATGACTCTGGGGGTGGTGTTCATCTCTGTTCCTAAGCTGAAGATCTGGTGTTGTGTCCATAAACACCTCCAAGGTCATGTGGCCAGCATGACTGCATGGAGCGCCGTTACCTTCCTGCAGTAGTGGTACCCATTGGTCTACTCATATTTGTAGGTTTTCAAACTGCTAAGTTGGCAGAAACTATTTATTTATTTATTATTTATTTATTTATTTACTCTATTTGTATACCGCATATATCAGCCTGAGGCGGCGACTCAATGCGGTTTACAATAAAAACAACACTAAACAATGTATGAGACACACAATACAGACAAACACATAATCATCAACGCCACACTTAGAATCAGATTCCGATCTCAAAATCCTTTTTCCATTCCTTGTCCGATGCCGTCATTATTGAGTTAATTGCCAAAAGCCTGCTCGTAGAGCCACGTCTTCACCCTCCTCCGAAACACCAGTAACGAAGGGGCCTGCCTGATGTCCACCGGTAACGCATTCCATAGCCGAGGGGCCACCACCGAGAAGGCCCTGTCTCTCGTGCCCGCCAGCCGCACTTGTGACGCCGGCGGAACCGAGAGCAGGGCCTCCCCGGAAGATCTTAACGCTCTTCCCGGTTCGTAGGAGGAGATGCGTTCGGAGAGGTAAGTGGGGCCGGAACCGTGGCTAAGAGGGCTAAGAGTGGGAGATCATGCTGTTTCCAGGATTCAAACGACCAACCTTTCAGTCAGCAAGTTCAGAAGCTCAGTGGTTTTACCCACTGTGCTACCAGGGATCCAATAATGTGATAGTAAGAGGTTATACTTCAGCTAGAGAGTAATGTTAACAAGCTACCATTTCTAGTAATCAGTCAAGCCTATCCTCAAACTGTCCACTACTCATTATTTTTATAACAATACCCACCGCACCCCCTGGCTAGATTCTCCACCATTTGCTATCCTGGCTCAAGATGCTTTGAGCTTCATTCCAACAATAACTGGATGAGATAAACAATTCCCATGCCTCATTAATAAAACCCATGATTTAATACAAAGGTGTGTACAGGGCTGGTCATGAAACCTATACACAAGGGAGGGGAACCCTTAGATCTCTCCAGATGTTGTCCCCTTTTTGTCATTGGGCATTGTAGATAAGTTTTGAAGACAACTGCAGACCAGAACACCTGGAAGGCCATCTGTCTCCCAGTCCTTCCATATGATAAAGCTACTAGTCTGCAATTTTTGAAAACAAGTTTGCTATTTCACTACATTTTCATGTTGACAAATTGAGGAGGGCAAGGCCCTTTTCATTAGCCAGTATAGAGACTCACATTAACAACCTTTTACTTTCCCAAATGTCTTCTGCTAGACTTCTGTAGTGTGTCTTCTGGGCACACTAACCTAAAGTTACCAATTCCCTTCTGATCTTGGAAACTAAGATAGGTTAGCCCTAGGTAGTTAGCACTTGGATAGGAGACTGTCAACCAATATCAGGTGGTGTAGGGTAATTTCAAGATGTGCACATCACCTAAAGTGTTTTGTCTTTATACCCCTATCTATCTATCTATCTATCTATCTATCTGTCTGTCTGTCTGTCTGTCTGTCTGTCTGTCTGTCTGTCTAAATATTAGTGTGATGATTAATACGGGGAGAGGAGTTGATTGGTCTTGATGGTCCAATCAACCCCATGATGGTCCATGGTGTATCCAATTTTTGCCTCGGTGTTCTGCGGTCTCTTAAATGTTGGGAGCCACAGAGCTAGAGCAAAGGCTTCCTTCTTCTTTCCACTGTGAGTAGCAGAGAAACTGAGCAGGCATGTAGAGGAATAACAGATGGATCTGTCTTTTCTCTGTCAGGCTGTTCAATTATTTAGAGTATTTATACCCTGCTCTTCTGCCACAAAGATTCTGACAAATTGTTAATTTGATAGTACTCTGCCTTCAGGCTTACAGGCTACTTAATTCATCTGCATATTATTTTCTGTTCTCCTATAGAGACCAGATGAGTTGCTCAATACAAAGCTGCCTAGCTTGGTCAATGTTGCTAAGGCATTTCTGGGCTAACAATGTCATCTTGAAAGTAAACCATTGTGCCATTTTGTCACGAGTCCATTTGGCCCCAGATCATCACTTTGAACAGTATGAATTGGCTGTGGTGACCTTTCTAACCCCATAGAAAATGGTGCCTTACCTGATTAGGTCCAGAAAGGCATCGGCAGCTGTCACTCGCACTATCTTGCCTTCTCGGTGCATCTTTTCTTTAGATCCTTTCCCAGGGTGAATTATAACCACCATGATGATTCCAATCAGGACAGCAATGATTGTGGTGCTCATATAGTAGACGACTGCTCGAAGTCCCATCTTTCCCGATGCTTTACTGTCCAGTGCAGCAACTCCTAACAAATCAAATTGCAAGTGTACAGTTAAGGGTCAACGCACCTCACAGAACTGCAGATAAAAATTAGATACATCCATGGTTCAAGATCAGTGATTGGAAAAGTTATTTTTGGACAATAATTCTCAGAATTTCCTAGCCAACATGGCTGGAGGATTCATGCAAATATAGTCCAAGAATTGCTTTGCTAAGCTTTGTATTTGGCTGGTCATGGTAGGTAACATGATACTGCCTGGATGGACTTTTGGTATGATTCTTCAAGCTTCTTCTTATGTTTTTGTTACAGGAATATAAAAATGAACTAGTTGTATATATTTCCCTGGAAACTGAGGGCTCTTCCAGACAGGGCCCAAAATGCGGGCCGTGTTGGATTTTTACTTGAGGCATCCAAATGATGCCTCAGGTAAAAGAGCAATAATTTGAGACAAAGCAGGTAAACCCTGCTTTGTCCCAAATTATTTAGATATCCCATTAGCTCCGGGCCTTCCTGAAACGCCCGGTTCTAATGGGATTTGAGCCCTGTGGGGACAGACTCCTGGGACTGCCTCCGCTGTCCCAGTAATCTGTCCACACAGCTCAATTCACTTCTTTGGGCCCCATGAACCCGGATAAACAAAGAGCTCTCCCAAAGCCTGCCTTAAAAATAAAGAAAAACTTACCGGGTCATCATGAAGCTGTGGAGGGGGGAGCAAGAATGCACCTCCCCTCCTCCTGCCTCCTGGCGCATCATTTTTGCATGCCAGGAGGGTTGCTGATGCCATTCCGATAGTTGTTGGGATGGCATGGGGACACCCACCCAGGAAAACCCAGGTTTTGGGGGGGAGGCATGGGGACTTAAAACTGCTTTGGAGTGGATTTTTTTAAAAATCATAGCATTGTACTGGAGGACCTAGGAATCATAGAATCAAAGAGTTGGAAGAGACCTCATGGACCATCCAGTCCAACCCCCTGCCAAGAAGCAGGAATATTGCATTCAAATCACCCCTGACAGATGGCCATCCAGCCTCTGTTCAAAAGCTTCTAAAGAAGGAGCCTCCACCACACTCCGGGGCAGAGAGTTCCACTGCTGAACAGCTCTCACAGTCAGGAAGTTCTTCCTCATGTTCAGATGGAATCTCCTTTCTTGTAGTTTTGAAGCCATTGTTCCGTGTCCTAATCTCCAGGGAAGCAGAAAACAAGCTTGCTCTCTCCTCCCTATGACTTCCTCTCACATATTTATACATGGCTATCATATCTCCTCTCAGCCTTCTCTTCTTCAGGCTAAACATGCCCAGCTCCTTAAGCCGCTCCTTGTAGGGCTTGTTCTCCAGACCCTTGATCATTTTAGTCGCCCTCCTCTGGACACATTCCAGCTTGTCAATATCTCTCTTGAGTTGTGGTGCCCAGAAATGCTTAGAGTGGTCATATTTTGTAAGAGGTGGATAAATGGAACTACGGACGCTAGTCCAACATCATACTGTGTACTACCAACTCCACATCCATCAAGGATAAAAGTCTGCCTGGTTTCTGGTCAATACTAAGTCTTATTAATAAGAATGTTAATGGCCAATGTTGTTTCCAAAGTGGAAGAGGACTCTTACCAAGTTCAGCATAATAGAACAACTTAGCCGTCCCTTTGAAAACAGGATCCTTCATTGATTTATAATGTGAAAAAACTTCAAAGTTAGATCTCAGCACGAAATTGCTGAGTAGATGCTGCCTACTATCACATAACAGTTGGTTATTATGTTAATGCCTTACCTATTGCCATGAGGTTTGTGTTATTATCAATGGTTTTGCTAATGGGCAGTGTGTTAATCATACAATTGCCGCTGGCAGTATTTTCTACCTTTCTCAATTTGCTTTGACCTCAATGTCATCATCCCAGCCACAACCATGTGCTCGTATTAACCTCTAAGTTTTACTCTATGCAGTTTGAGCAAATGGCTTCAGTCTGTGAAAGCTCACCATACATTTAATGTTAGCCTTGAAGGTGCGGCATGACAACTCTGTGGTTTTGCTCTGCTTACGTAAATTTCTTGTCTAGTTCAGAAGATGAAACTTTCACAACAGTTCAGAGAACTGGAATTTGCTTATATAACTCATGGACATACATCGTGATAACAGCAATGGTGGTGGCAGATCTAATGTTTTCATACTCTTTCTTGCATGGCATCACTCTAGTCATGCAGGGAGTGAGATTGTGAAAACCCAAAGACATACAAACATCTTCAGAATTGTACAAAGGTTGAATGAAAAGTAATGCCTCCAACTCCAAAAGTAATGCCTCCACTCAATTAGACAACTATCGGCCAGTTTCCAATCTCCCCTATTTGGGCAAAGTCCTGGAACGCGTGGTGGCCTCACAACTCCAGGTATTCTTGGGAGACACGGATTATCTGGATCCGGCACAGTCTGGTTTCAGACCGGGACATGGAACTGAGACAGTCTTGGTCGCCTTAGTGGATGATCTGCGCCGGGAGCTAGACAGGGGGAGTGTGTCCCTGTTGGTGCTCCTGGACCTCTCAGCGGCCCTCGATACCGTCGACCACGGTATCCTTCTGGGGCGCCTTGCGGAAATGGGTCTTGGGGGCGCCTTATAGCCTGAACACGTCACGTAGTGTACTGACGCAGATCAACCAGACCCTATATAGGACCAGCGCTTCGATACCGTCGATCACGGTATCCTTCTGGGACGCCTCACAGATATGGGACTTGGGGGTACTGCTTTGCAGTGGCTCCAGTCCTTTCTGGAGGGACGGTCCCAGAAAGTGTTACTGGGTGACACCTGTTCGGCCCCACAGCCATTGTCATGTGGAGTCCCTCAGGGATCAATTCTGTCCCCGATGTTGTTTAACATCTACATGAAGCCGTTGGGAGAGATCATTCGGAGTTTCGGACTAAGATGCTATCTCTATGCAGATGACATCCAAATCTGTCACTCCTTCTCACCTGTCACTAAGGAGGCTGTCCAGACCTTGAACCGGTGTTTAGCTGCTGTGTCGGACTGGATGAGAGCTAACAAATTGAAATTGAATCCAGACAAGACAGAGGTCCTACTGGTCAGTCGGAAGGCCGAACAGGGTATAGGGTTACAGCCTGTGTTGGATGGGGTTACACTCCCCCTGAAGACGCAGGTTCGCAGCTTGGGGGTGATCCTGGATTCACAGCTGAGCCTGGAACCCCAGGTCTCAGCTGGGGAGAGCTTTTGCACAATTAAAACTTGTGCACCAGTTGCGCCCGTATCTTGGGAAGTCTGATCTGGCCACGGTGGTCCACGCTCTTGTTACATCCCAAATAGACTACTGCAACGCTCTCTACGTGGGGTTGCCCTTGAAGACTGTTCGGAAACTTCAACTAGTCCAGCGAGCGGCAGCCAGATTGCTCACTGGAGCGACATACAGGGAGCACACCACCCCCCTGTTGTGTCAGCTCCACTGGCTGCCGATCCAATTCCGAGCACAATTCAAGGTGCTGGTTTTGACCTACAAAACTCTGTACGGTTCCGGTCCAGTGTATCTGTCCAAACGTATCTCCCTCTACATCCCACCCTGGAGTTTGAGATCATCTGGGGAGGCCCTGCTCTCGTCCCCACCACTGTCACAAGTGAGGCTGGTGGGGACGAGGAGCAGGGCTTTCTCAGTGGTGGCCCCTCACCTGTGGAACTCACTCCCAGAGAAAATCAGGGCATCATCATCCCTCCTCTCCTTCAGGAGGAGAGGAGGGTGAAGACTTGGTTATGGGACCAGGCCTTTGGGCACTCTGGCAATTAAATCAGACAATCAGGCGAGTAAGACCAGCAGGATGGATGAATGGAACGTAAAACTAGATCTAGACTGACAATGCAAGGGAGGAATCTAGGTTTGTAGTGATTTTATTGATTTTTATTGATTTTTATTGGAATAATGCATGATGATGTTAGTAATTGTGAATTTTACTGTAAGTTGTGATGATTGTTGTGTTGCCGGCATCGAATCGTGCCTTACTGTGTAAGCCGCCCTGGGTCCCCTTCGGGGTGAGAAGGGCGGGGTAAAAGAACCCCAAATAAATAAATAAATAAATGTAAACCAGATGGCAGTACTGGTATGCGGCAGGTACTGGCTTGTTCAGTAGACTCTCCTCTACAGTTCCATCTTGGCAGGAAGCCTTAGCATTGAATGGTTGTGTTGTTAAAGTGCGAAGTATGGAACCCTGCGCAGACGGTCAGTCAATGTGACTTAAGCAACGTGCAGTCATTGAATTCTTGACAGCAGAAGGTGTCACCCCAAAGGAGATTCATCAGAGAATGCAAGCTGTTTATGGTGATTGTGTTGATGTGAGTACTGTGCGTCATTGGGCAAGTAAGTTTAAAGATGTTGAGGTGGGAACATCTGACTTGTGTGACAAACAAAGAGTTGGACGTCCTGTGACAGCAACCACAAGTTTCACAAGTAAAAGGTTGACAGATTGATTCAGGATGATCGTTGTATCACTCAGAGAGAAATTTCAAGCATAATTGGCATTTCACAAGAACGTGTCGGTCACATTATTGCTTTGCTTGGCTGTCGGAAGATCTGTGCACGATGGGTACCCAGGATGCTGACGCCTGAAATGAAAGTGCACAGACTTCTTCCGTGACGACTTCAGAAAACTTGTTCATTGTTGGCAGAAATGTATCCAATTGTCTGGTGATTATGTGGAAAAGTGAATAGTTGTAGTTAAAGAGGCAGCGCTGGGGGGGCTTGAGGGGCTTCAGCCCCCCCCTCCGAAATTCTCATGGTGGTTCGCGAAAAGGCCTTACTGGTGCATTATTTAAACTGTTATGTTTATTCATATCATGATCTGATCACCATACTCAATATATCCCATATGCATGGGGGCATTGGGGTAACGATACAAAAGGTTTGCTAGGGTAGACCCTCTTTCACTCAGACTCAGCCCCCCCCCCCCCAAACAAAGCCCCCCCCCCCCCAAAACGAAATCCTGGCGACAGGCCTGGTGGTAGTTAAAGAGCACAGTCTGAGGATTAATTCTGCGTTTGAT